CTAGGCTACCCCACCGCCCACCTCTGTGTGTGTTCTGTGAAAGCGATGAATAAAGGAGTAAGAAGACAAACCAAAAGTACCATTTTATTTTCATGGACGTTTATAAATTTTAAAGCGAATCATTATGAGGTATTTGTTCATACATCGGAAGTTCATTGATCAACAGGAACTGCATTTTTTAAACATTTGTTATGAAAGTTATCAGATGTGATCAGATGAGAATTGTGAACTAGATTTTGTTCATTTCTTATTTAAAAAATCAACAATTGCATGTTTGTTTGTTATTTAACGCCGCACTCAGCAATATTCCAGCTATATGATGGCGGTCTGTAAATAATCGTGTCTGGATCAGACAATCCAGTGATTGACATCATGAGTATCGACGATCTAAGCAATTGGGGTACGATGTCATCAACCAACTCAGAGAGCACTTCCACCCGATCCAGTTAGTCGCCTCTTACGACAAGCATGGGTTGCTGAAGACCAATTCCAACCCGGATCTTTACGGGTAGGGTCTTATTATAACACTTAATCCATAGGTAAGGTTAAGATGTGTCAAAAGGGCTGATTTTAGAGGTTTTGGAAAAAGTGTTTTTATAATTTTTGAACGTGTGCAAGTTTTTAACCTAAGCTGATTTTCACAGGATACGTCAATAAAAACAAGAACACACACATCGGGCAAAATACTGATCCGTATCACTTATTTTAGCCATAATTAAATATCATATATTTTTTGGGTTTTTTTACTTGTTAGAAGTTCAAAATATGAAAGTGTAAGAAATTATAATGGTTTGTAGTCAGCCATCTGAAACTGTCTGTCAAACGTGCATACCACCACATAAAATATTTATTAAAATGCCCTTACCCTACCTTCTCCCATCTTCCCGAGGCAAGCGTGCCCACAAGCCTATTATGGTGTAGGCCAGTGGACACTCTTGTCTCGGGACGATGACCTTCTCCAAATTTGTATTCTAAAGATCATAATATACTCAACAACAAAAGTTCCTGTGACACCAATATTTTAGTGTATTTTTCAAACAAGTAAAGTTTGGTTTTCAATATTGTAGTACATGTATGGAATCAAGTCACAAAAACGCAACTGCTACAGAAAAGCATACATTTCATGCAAAAGTTGACTTTTGTGCATTCCCCAATGCATTTCACTACCCAAGAATGGGTATCAAAACACGTGCGTTAACGGGATTCCATATGCATTGTTTAGCATCGTGCTGACAACAACCTCTCCGAAAAACAACAAAATTACGCAATTTTTCAACATTACGAAATGCTACGCCTGGTATGCTTGAAGCAGGATCGAGTCAACATGATGTTGCAAGACAATTTAACGTCCACAAAAACACCATTTTGTGTTTATGGCAACGTTGGCAACAGACGAATGCAGTCAGAGACCATCCTCGGAGTGGCAGGCCACGCGTAACCAATAATCGACAAGACAACTGGATTCGAACAACACACCTACGAAATCGATTCCAGCCAGGAACAGTGACTGCAAGAAGCATCCCTGGCCTTCGACGAATATCTTCACAAACCGTACGTCGTCGCCTCAGATGTGCAGGGATTGTCGCCAGAAGACCCGCCAGACGTCCCATTTTGACAGGAAACCAGCGTCAAGCACGTTTACAGTGGTGCAGACAGCGTCTACGCAGGACGGCCATGCAGTGGGGACAAGTTCTATTCACTGACGAGTCTCGTTTTCACCTCAGCCAGAGCGATGGACGGATTCGAGTGTACCGACGTCGAGGTGAACGTTACGTCAATCATTGTGTCACGGAAGAAGATCGGTTCGGGGGCGGCAGCGTTATGGTATGGGGTGGGATTACAGCAAGACAGAGGACCCGTTTGATTAGGGTAGAGGGAAATCTCAATGGACAGCGCTACCGCGACGAGATCATCGGCCCTGTTGTTCTACCGTTTTTGCGTCGTCATGGCCCAGGCGTTACCTTTCAACATGACAACGCCCGGCCTCATATTGCTCGACTTGTTCAGGATGCTCTTCAACAAAACAACGTGAATGTCATCCCCTGGCCGGCTCGGTCCCCTGATCTCTCACCAATCGAGCACATGTGGGATGAGATGGATCGGCGCCTTCGACGTCAACCACGTTTTCCACAGACACTCCAGGAACTTCGAAACATGCTCCAGCAGATATGGACAGATATCCCACAGGACTTTGTGCGACGCCTGGTCCATTCCATGAGACGAAGACGTGTTGCCTGCATCGCAACCTGAGGTGGACACACACGCTATTGATTTGTAAATTGACATTTTGGCATGTTCATGTTTTTTTATGAAATCACGCATTTTCTGAGAAGTCAGTATGGCAAATTTAACCATTTAAACAGTTACAAGAGTCTTTTATCTGTTGCAAACCGAAATTGTTTCAGATTTGGTAAAAAAACATAACTATGCATTAAATCTTATTCAATGTCACAGGAACTTTTGTTGTTCAGTATATGAAAACCGAACTCAGCTTTATGAATTGTCGATACATATTGTTATACTGTCTTGTAGCCACGTGACACGCTATAAATCCACTTTTTAGAAAAGGTTCTTGAATATTAAAAATTACTTTTCATGTGAACCTGTAAGAATTGCCATTATGCTTTTGAATTTCGAAGAAATGAATCTGATAAGTATACTATTAAATGTTTTCATTGTGAACAGTTTGAATTTTCAGGTGATAATTTCAAATATTCAAATGTGGAACATTTATGATGACCTCATCGAATTGTCAACATATGAAAGCATAAAAGAACAGCCTTGTGCTCTATTCTGTGAAATTTGTCTGAGAGGACTTAAAAAACTCTTCTTGCTAAATCTTCGTCACATCATATTGTTCAGATTCGACATTAATTCTTACGAACAATATCAAGCTAAAAATGGCGCATGGGTAGCTTAGTCGTCTAAATCGTGGCACTACACTATGCGGAGTTGCATCGCAAATGGCTAATCTAAAGTAAAAAAGATATGGGATGAGTTGTATTGACATTAACTACGAAGCTAGTACCTAATGTCATGATGTCTTTCAGATTCACATTTAACTACTTCATAGAGTCAATATTTTAAGTGCCAATAAAAAATATTCATTGTACAAAGCATCTAAAATGTCTCCTGTCTGTCTGTATATAAGATATAAATATACCAGACTACCAGACAGTGACAGATGATTATATGAAAGGTTAGGTCTTTTTACACGAAGAAAAGTACATTTATGAATCGATGTAATAAATAATATATTTTATTGTTATAATCACAACCGCTGCCATTATCGAAATAAGATGAGGTGAGGTGAAATGGGGTTTAACGTCGCGTCCAAGATTATTGCACTTATATAGCGACGTGCATGCACGTGTGTGTGTGTGGCTGCTTGTACTAGTCCGGACTGATGCCGATTTTTAGTGCTAGCTCACTAAGATACCATGCCGCAGTTTAACATGAATACCCAACTCAGACACAGTATAATGACTCCGAGCCGACCAGTCCTTGTTTTAGCCCTTTAATGCCGAGCGCCAGACAGGGTAACAACAAGTACCATCTTTTAACGTCTTTTGGTATGACGCGGCCGGGAATCGAACCCCGGACCTTCCGCTCTCCGGGCGGACGCTCTACCACTAGACCATGAGGCGGTCTCCTGCAAAATGACCATGTTTTATTTTGTTATATTTTGTTGTGTCTACTTCTGTTGAAACTGATCAGAAGGGAATAAGTACGGTATATCGTCCCAGCAACATGCCTTATGTATGGAATACTGTAAGGGACATACTCGCGTTTCCAAAGGTTGAGATCGCGAGAATGCGAGATCGCGATAATGTCCCTTACAGTATTCCATACTTATGATAATGCCACGTAAATCTCGGCGTATCGGCTTAAAGTGTGAGGAAACACTGAAGGATGCATGTTATAAACAATGACCACTCTGTTGACACCACGAGGACAAACATGGTGCCGACAAAGTATGGATTATAATTAGAGCGAATCTGGAATACGAAGTCATGCTTAGCGGACATAGGAGCCTAACTCTGCAGAGCAAATGGCGGCCCAAGATACTACTGAACCAACCGTAACTTCGTTATAAATCTGAAGTAACTGGAAAACTGATAATACTGAGTGAATGAGTTGTGTTTAATGCTGCTGATGTCAGTTATATGACGACGTGTCAGCTTAATGTGTGAAAAAAGATCTAAATGATGTGGGTCTCAGACATTTACCACGGGTACGGGATTCGAAATCAAGGTCCCAGGTGTCTGCCTGGCCTAAGGGACGCAACTCTGCGAATTTGCCCTTGGGCACGCCAGAAACCTATAATTGTAGGTTCAAATCCCGGTTCGCCCCGATTATGTTTCTATGTTTGACAGCACCATACCCGTGCTCGCGGGTTTCACCGAAGTGGTAAACGTCTGAGACCTGCATCAGTTCAGGCTTTCCTCCAAAATTAAGCTGACACGCCGTGATATAACTGGAATACTGTTAAAAGCGGCGTTAAAGCCAACTCACTCACTCACTCAAACTCATGTACATGAAAATGTATACTCCTCAGGCATCAGGTGTCAAATAGTTTATAATTACGCTAGATGAGGGGCGCAACCCCGAATGGTTTATTCTCCCTGTCGGACAAGTCCATTTTATGCACAGGTGGGTTTTTCACCACATATTCCGATAAATTTTCACGTCAACTACCTGTACCTTTCCGCAAACCACTTGTCATGTCTCTCCCGCCTTTAGATGTGATCGTTCGGCCATGGCCTGTATCTGCTTTGCCCAGCTACATCAATGGGGAACAACTCACCAGACACTCCCCTCTCAAAAATAACGTCGCCCAATATGACGTCACCAACCTGCGAGCCAATATTCGAATCTCCAGAAATGACGTCATGTGAGAACGTGGTTTTATCGTGAAATAAACCACACTTCGTTCTTCATTGTTCTTTGCGATTTATCGCGTAGCTATCTTATATTGGTGCATAAATACAACGAAAAAGGACTTCGAATTATTTATTCAAAGCGTCACATGTAATTCCGTAAATGCTGCAACATCTGCGGCGCGACAGCTTCATCTTTCGCCAGGCATCTCTGCAAATGAAGACAAAACCAGTAGTGTTGAGTTCTTGAAAGTGAAAGTTTTGACAAACAAAACGTCGTCACCTACATGTGAATTACTCTTGACCTAATCACTTCCTCTGATGTTGAAGGTATCACTAACGCTAGATTGTTTGGCCGCACTCAGCAATTGTCCAGCAATATGATGGCGGTCTGTAATTATTATGGATTCTGGACCAAATAAACCAGTGATTGGTATTATGAGGAGATATCCACGTTTTCCGGGCACGATGACACCCAGTCCACCAGCCTGACCACCCGACCTCTTAAACTCGAATCTTTTGACAAGAGGGATTACATGGTAGCCATTCTAACCAGAATCCCACACGCCGTACTGGCACAAGCCTTCTTATCATATGTAAACTCGGTGGACGCCTAAAGTTCATTTCGTCCCGAAGGTTGAACTAAATCTAAGACTGTTAAATATATTATGTAGTTTATAGTAATCTTAAATCCTTTTTCGTCATGGTAACCTATTTAAATTTGCAAAAAAAACTTTGCACATGTTCAAACCATGTCTAGTAAGCTTTAAGTCTTTGCGAGTGAGTGAGTATTGTTTTACGCCGCTTTAAGCAATATTCCAGCAAAATCACGGCGGGGAACACCAAAAATGGGCTTCATACATTGTACCCATGCCGGGAATCGAACCCGGGTCTTCGGCATGAAGAGCGAAAACTTTAACCCTTAGACTACCCGACCGCCCCTTTTAAACTATGCGCTATCCTATGAGTGAGTGAGTTAGATTTAAATCCGTTTTAAACAGTATATTCCAGTTACATCACGGCGTGTCAGCTATATGTGGGAGGACATATCTAAGTGATGCAAGTCTCCGCTTTGGTGAAACCCACGAACACGGGAATGGTGCTGACAAACCTAGAAACATAATCGGGGCGAAGCGGGATTCGAACCCACGACCATAGGTGCCAAGGGACGCAACTCTAAATCGTAAATAAATGCAGTGCTATATGTCATACATACATCCTTTGTAGCCAAAATTGTTGAAATATGGCTCAGCGCGTGGATAATACAGCCCAGTACGATAGTAAGGCTCTGCGTAGCCATACGGCTCCGGGTAGACCCCATAGTGGGGCCGCACATAGGGGACATGCGCCATCACGGCTGCAACGGCGATGCAGAGAACCAGGACTGTTGCTAGGACCTTCATTGTAGATTACTCTGTAATTATAAGAATAGATACATACAATCAAAGTAACTTTAAATCGTGACCCGTGAATATCCGGGTAGAATAGGTCTTCAGCAACCCATGCTTGCCGTAAAAGGCGACTTTGCTTGTCGTAAGAGGCGACTAACGGGTTCGGATGGTCAGGCTCGCTGTCTTTATATCCGAATCGATGCTCATGATGTCAATCACTGGATTGTCTGGTCCAGAATCGATTATTTACAGACAGCCGTCATATAGCTGGAGTAGGGCGTATAACAAACAAACAAACATTAAATCGTTGAGATCAACAAATATCCAGATTAACGAATAGTGTACATAGTAAAGTCACGGTAATTATTAATGCGTCCCATCAGTACGGGTCACTCTTCCTGAGGCAAGCGTGTCCACTAGCCTATATCAAACCTAGTTTCTACCCTTGCCACATCAAGGCCACTATTTTGGCTCGACCCTGGCGCCACCTCGCGTAGATCACGAGTTGTGTCCCTTGTAATGAAAACGCAATATCCAATGAGACGCTGTTCTTTTCTCGTATAGCTTCACAAAGATGGCGACTACCATAGGAGACGACCAAGTCGATTCGCGATTTTATCCTTAACACAAAACCATAGGCAATCTTTGGGGGGTTATAAGATGAAAAAGACATATTCTTCTCAACAAAGATGGGCAACGTTAAATCACTTTCATACATAGGTGTACCAGTCGTGGATGTTGATTTTGTGAAACGTGAATCGACACGGAAACAAGTCTTTGATAAAATGGCTCGTGGACACTTTTGCCTCGGGTTAACGTGTTTGCACTGTCTATATACTACCGACAAAGATAAGGGAAGTAATTAAAATGACTTGAACGAAGCCATCGCTAAGGTCTACATTTGTGGCGTTGCATCTGAACGCAACATCTAATCACAATGATATTTCTCATCATGCATGGACAGCATGTGATGCACGTGCATACAGAGGCCGTGTGTGGCATGTATGGGGGGACTTACAATCACTGATGCAATTCAGCTGAGCACATGCTCAAAAATGCCTTCGAGATAGCATTCAGCGAACAAACAAAATGACGAATTGTGTATACGATGGGGGAACGTGTAATTTCTCGACTGTGGGACAAGTTCCGTCAACTGGGTTGGGTTGCAATGAGACCGGGGCGTGGCAGGCCTAAAGATACCAACTGGATAGAATCGTCTCATTACATTAATTACACTACGCAATAGAATCAAATCTACTCCTGTTATCAAAAGGCGAATATCAACATCGACCGTTACATACCGTCTCTATGCAGCCCATCTGAATGCAAGGCGTCCTGTGTAACGATTATCAACGGCGGCAAAGTTTGACTGGGCTGTGCAACACCAGGGACGGGCTGTGCGTCAATGGCATTACGCCATGTTTACAGATAAAGCAAGGATTGAAGGATTTTCCAGATGGCAGAAAACGTTGTTGGCGAATTAGCGGCGAATTAGCGGCGTGCTCTAAGACAGTGAACCCATTCTTGACCATGATCGGTATGGCAGCGGTAATGATATGGTGTGGGCGGTATCACACACCACAGGCGAACTGATTTGGTCATTGTGAAGAGATATATAACTGTCCAGCCATATGTTGACATAATTTTGCGTTCTGTCATTCCCTTCGTTAACATTATCGGCAGAAATCTGGATCTGGAAGATGACAATGCCAGACCACAACGTGCCCAGGTCGTCAGAGATTATTTCCGACTAGATCGCATACGGACATATGACTGGCCCGCTAAGTCCCCTGGCATGTCCCCAATACAGCATCTGTGGGATGTTCTCGGCGGAGAGTGTACGCCAGGGACCCAGCACCCGCCAACGTGGCCAGCTTGGGGTAGCTCTTCCGGCGGAATGGCGGGCAATACCAAGGGCAACCATACGCAAGTTGATCAACAGAATGCCATCAAAGTGTCGTGCATGTATCGCCCAACATGGTGGACACCAGATACTGACCTACACGCCCGAAATAATTTTTACAGACAGTTATTGTTATTACACCTTCACTATCATCTCATCAGTTACCTTATGATTTGTCGGTTGTATATAGGTAGTATATATACCGTCAAACCCAAACAAACATTTGTAATTTTAAAAAAAACGATCATTGAAGCATATCGTTACATCCTACCATGTGTATGTTACGATTACATAAATAGTCGTCGAAGATGCCGAAAATCAGTGTCTAAAACATAAGTAACAGATGGGACAATAATGCCTGTTGTCACTGTCCGGCTGACCTTTTGACGTGATATATTAAATGAACACTTTCCAGGAAAATGTTTTGGTACCCTTATAAGACATGTTAATGCCTTTTTCCACAACAAAACTAAAGAATGACATTGTCTGATGTAAAGGGTATCGCGTCAAAGCTCGCTGAATACAATGTGTAGTGCTAACACAGGCTATTTAACATCCAAAAACACTCTCGCGACATAATCTGTGTCTCAATTCTCTAAATCCTGTGCACGTTTCATATCACAAACACCCTAAGCCTTATCTGCCATCAAGTCCCAGAAGTGTTCAGACTTGGGTTGACATGATCAACGCCAGATTCATGGTTTTGGTCGCTCGTTGAAACCAGCACCGCTTTCCTAAGCCTAACATAATCTGATATATCAGTGTTCCCCTCAAGAAAGAAGTTTCAATGTAAACGATCATTCCTACCTCAATTGCTTGAACTGTAACTGGTAAGCAGACCCTCTGGCACTTACATTTATACCATTGTCCTTGATGAGTTAACCCATAAATGTCAAGTAAAATAACGAGAAACAGGTCACTTTTTATTTGATTGAGATTGATCTACGTAATGTTTGCAGCTTAGGGCATTCTTGAAGCTTGCCATCTGACTCCGAGAAGCAGTCGCGAATACATTCTTTGTCATTTCCTTTTAGTTTGGAAAGGCGGGATTGTTTAAGGCTCATTTGGCCCACGGGTTTTGCGTGATTGAATGAGATGGACTACATAGTTTTATATACGTGGGTTGTGTCACCAACAATGATTCAGAAGGGATGACTCCTGATACGGACGGATGAAATTAAGTTTTGAAAAATCTTCAATATATATACATTGCCATATAGTTATTATGATATCATGTTCATTGTGATGTTCTGTACGCCAGAAACATGATTGTGGGTTCGAATCCCGGTTCACCCCGATTATGTTTCTAGGTTTGTCAGCACCATACCCGTGCTTGTGGGTTTTACCAAAGTGCTCAACGTCTGAGACCTGCATCACTTCGGGCTTTCCTCCTACATTAAGCTGACACGCAGCCATATAACTGGAATACTGTTAAAAGCGACGTTAAACCCAACCCACTCACTCACTGTAATGTTCTATTGACACAGAAAATAAATGTTCTGTGACTATATAATATAGGATGGTTTTCGGTGTACAGTAACCCTATTTTACGTGTTACATGAAGTTAAAATTATGATAATGGTTGTGTTAGGCTCTGAATAATTTAAGGAATGTGAAATTGTTACGTAGGTTATCATAAGAAGGTTGACATATGAATGGCAAAAGGTCTTTGTTCATACAAAACTTGTGGAGCCGGGCGTAGTATGCAGTTGTCCAGCCACTGGGCTGCTAGTCAAAACATGAGGCAATTCTTGGATGATGATGATGTTTATTACTGTGTGGCAGATGGTGGGAGGGAAGCTGGAAAGAAGAGTCCTCCCTCCATAAAGAGTTCATGCAGAATGCATGAGGACGGCAAGTGAGAAAGGAAGTTTAAAGAAGTGGACCAAAGGGCCAGTCAGAAGAAAGTTAGCATCTGACAGGTATTAAGGAAAGTCAAGATGCTTCACAGTGACATGAAGTGGTGGACATATCTAAAATAGATAAGGGGAAGTCCAGGTGAAGCTGGAGAAATCACAGAGGCTGCAAAAGGGTATCAAGGTTGATGTTAGTTGGCTGATATTCAACTGCAGACAAGGACAACATATAATGATCACAGAATGAAGTGATGGTGATAATGGATGAAAATGTATATATGTATGTAATGAATACTAGGGGGTTATAAGTGGGTGGTACTTATGTGGCTATAACTCATTCAGAGTTAGCACCACCATCCGGCTACACTTGCATTATTGGACTTAAAATACTTAATGTATAGGTAAGGCTAATGTATTTCGCTTTGTCTGATTTTAGAGTTTTTCTGGATGAGTTTTTCTGATATATAAATGAAAACGTCTTTGACCCAAGCTCATATTCCAGGATGATGACAGTACAAACACATGGTACAATCTCCCGGCTCATCATCAGGGTATTGTCATTAATAAAAGTTGGGAAAACCGCCCTGTTTACTTTTAGCTTTTTGGGCCATTCTGTTTGGGCTGAGACATTAAACCTGGCTCCTACTGTGATCGAAAACGAACAAATTTGTTTAATATTTGCTTCTTTACTTATAAGCAGCAGAATATCTACACTTGTACACAGCAGACGTAATTCAAAATAACATATCTTTTGTAGTTTCAACAAAATCAGCAAATGCGCTATCGTGTGTATTAAAATTTTCCAGTCCATCACTTGATTGTCTGGTTTGTGTTTGTGTGTCCCGTTGCATGACAGGAGTACTGCTGTGTGCTGTCAGGCGATGCACACACATACTTTTTTATACAAATTGTGTGTGGCGGGTGCTACCGTTAGGGTAGGACATGCTTACCCTTTTGGCAAATACCTGGTGTCATCACTTATTTTCAGAAATCCATTCATATTAATTTCACTATTTTCTCTTTAGTGGTTAGTCTCTAGCGTTGGCGTCTAATTGTACTTGATCGTATCAGAAATCCAAACTGTTCCAATACTTCAAGGTGTCTGTAACATTTGACCATTTCATTATTTCATTGAAATAAAAAAATAAAATCTAATACTTCCAGCAGACCAAAATTGAAACTTATCCTACCTAATGATGTCAAAAGTAAGATATGTGGTGACGGATGCGTGTATTTCAGTTCACTTTACATTATTTGAAAAAAATGTTATAGATCTTCGTCTCTTCAAAATGTCATCGTATTTCATTCTTGTCATTTCATCCGGTTACCAGTCTTTTTCTTCATACTTGTCATTCAACGTGCCATGAGGATGAGTAACTATATTTATTGCTATTTCTACAACGGAATTATAGGGGCATGATATATATACAGATCAATTACATCCCGGTAACAAACAAGGTTTCTCAAACACTCCGCCAGATTGCTTGAATGTTCGCAGTCACAGAAAAGTACCAAGCTCAAGTATGTAAAAAAACCATTTGTTTTTGCAATTATTTTCACCACTATCCCACACGACAAACTTAAGGACAAACTTCAGTCTGAATCCATGGGGCATTTGTTACTAGTGAGTGAGTTGGGTTTAACGCCGATTTTAACAGTATTTCAGTTATATCACGGCGTGTCAGCTTAATGTGGGAGGAAAGCCCGAAGTGATGCAGGTCTCAGACGTTTACCACTTCTGTGAAACCCACGAGCACGGGTATGGTGCTGACAAACCTAGAAACATAATCGGGGTGAACCGGGATTCGAACCCACACTCATAGGTTTCTGGCGTGCCCAAGGGACGCAACTCTGCACAGCGAATCGCGGCGCCTTAGATGACTGGGCCACCCGTGCCCCCTGCATTTGTTACTAAACGTGGTGAACGTGATAAAGTCATATCTCTATGTTCAGGCGATTTGCCCAACATGAAAGCAAATGTCATCTTATGTTTTCTGCGAAAACAATATTATGTGAAATGCTGGACTTCCTGATTGATAACATATATATGATATTTTGGGACAAGATTATTTAGGAAAGAGGTAGGCATCCTCATGGGCACCAATTGTGTTACTCCTCTTGCTGAACTGTATCTTGATGCATAAGTGTCGGGAGTTCTGCATGGATTGGCAAATCAAAACAAGCGAATCTTGCGCCGAAGTTCTGGCTTCAGGTGATCTTGGTGCTCTTTTATCGTTCATTAATTATTAAATAGGCAGTTCCCTTCTAATGATTAACCCACCTGCACTAGAAAAAAACGAGACCTGTGAAACTGAATTTATCTGTTTCGTATTTAGATCTATGCATAAGGTCTCAAGTGATGAGGGTCTTTGCAGGGCCACTTTGGGTGGACGGTGCACGGTTATGGTGCTGACAAATCTAGAAACGTTATTTTGTCGAACCGGGAATCGAACCCACAGTCATAGGCTTCTGGTGCAACCAAGGGACGCAACTATGCATAGCTAACTGAGGCCGCCTAGATGACTGGCAACTCGTGTCTCGGGTAGGTTCTTTAAGGAAGACACGACCAACCCCACACTTTAGACATTATCCGTATCACTAACGCGCCTGTGTTACCAGAGCCGTGATACCTCATTCCACCTCTCACTAATAGGACATATCTAGTATCTTCTTGACCCGTGAAGATCCGGGGTAGAATTAGTTTTCAGCAGCCCGTGCTTTCCATATAAAGCTACTTTGCTTGTCGTAAGAGGCGACTAATGGGATCGAGTGGTCAGCCTCGCTGACTTAGTTGATGCATGTCATCGAATCCCAATTGCGTGGATCGATGTTCATGATATCAATCACTGGATTGTATGGTCCAGACTCGATAACTTGCAGACCGCCGTCATATAGCTTGAAAACTACGCCGTAAATCATCGGCGTAAATCAACAGACAAACAAAGTTTCTTCTTCGGTGACAGAGAAGACAAAAGTCTAAATCTGCCGAACAACTTAAAGTAGTGGCACGTGGACCTGTGCACAACGCACAGGTCACAAATCAGGTGAGTGAGTGAGTTAGGTTTTACGCCGCTTTTAGCAACATTCCAGCAATATCACGACGGGGGACACCAGAAATGGGCTTCTCACAGTGTACCCATGTCGGGAATCGAACCCGGGTATTCAGCGTGACGTGCGAACGCTTTAACCACTAGGCTACCCGACCGCCCCTGAAATCATGTGAAGTTAAGCAACGTCTGTCGGAGAGCTTGGCTCCTGAGAGTTTCTACGGCTTCGGTCCTGCCATACACTGAAGCGCACGTGGCGTCCTTGGACATGTGACTTTGTTCGAAATGTGCCTTCGTTCACCCTGCAGTGAATGGGTACCCGGTAGGATGAAATGGCAATGTGGTTGTTAAAGGGCAAGTTCACACGGAAATAAACCTATTTTTCTTGTACTTTTTCCACATTAAAAGTGTTAACCTAGAAGTGTCATAGACAAAATATAAAAATATCACAATTAATTAACATATTTTTCGCATTAAAACGGTTTATATTTTTCACATTTACCAAGTGTTCTATTTCCACAACAAAAACACCATGGCTTATGCCCCTTGCAATATGACGTCATTGGTGCCAATTGATAAACATTATGACGTCATCATGCTTTGTTAGAGCCGCTTCACGTGGTGTAGGTACAGGTGTGTGATTCTAGCGTCTCAGATGCCAGCCAGCATAGTGTTATGCTGAGTCACCACTGCGCCGGAGTGTGTCGTAGGCCATGTTGTTTTACCGCAAACTGGTACTTGATATCTTTTGCGTTGAGAATAGACAGGGACCCAGTTGAATTGGCACCAATTACGTCCTAATCTAAGGGGGATAACTCAGGCCTGTTTAGCTCGAAAAACGAAGGCCTCATAACGGCATATCATTTTCACACTATTGTGAGCTTCCTACTTTCACTGTGAAAAAAATGAGTGTATATTTTCAAACACAGATACTAATTAATTCTAAAATTGCGTTTTCTTTTAGAAAACGCAGAAAGAAAGTGGTTTTTGCGTGTACACTTCCCTTTAACCTTATGGCACCTAACAGGCAGCTTGGGTTGTATACTCCCTGAGCTGAGAATGATTCTTGAGCGCACACTGATCCAGTGACCAGGGTAATAATAGCTCTTTGAACATGACCCTGAATGGTGTGGAACTATGTTCAATATAAATAACCTATTATTACAGTCGCTGGAATGTGCGTTATTTGAGGATTGGGACAACATACCGAATGACGTCACGACGAGGCTTACGTCATCAATATGGCGTCGTGTCCTGGTTCGTCTCGGTCCCCGAGGCGGTCACACAAGATATTCACGCCATAACTGATGCGTCCAGAAGCTCTGTTATCAAACTTTCGTCTTCTGATTTATGTGTTTGATTGCATTTTGTTGGTTCAGCCCAAGTGCCATGACAATGTCTGTTGACATGCTGTACCATAAACGATTGAATCAACTACATTTCAAATGAAATGTATACATTTGTGTGCTTTCCTTTTATTATTTTTATAGTTCATGGACAATCTGTTTTGATGAGTAGTTCGTACGACCAAATGTGGCTTGGATAAAAGGTTGCAGAGACAATTCTAAACTCATTTCAACCTTATTAAATTAATACTTGTGTTGCCTGAATTGTACGTGATAGATACAACAAGATAATGGAGTATAACGAGCATGTGGATAATTTAGAATGTCACAACATAATTTCCAAGGGGGTACGGGTGGCGCTATTCGAGTTGCGTCCCTTGGACCCGCCAGGAATCGATTATGGTGGGATCGAATCTCGGTTCGCCCCGATTATGTTTCTTAGTTTGTCAGCACCATACCCGTCCTCTTGGGTTTCACGGAAGTGGTAAACGTCTGAGACCTGCATCACTTCGGGCTTTCCTCCCACATTAAGCTGACACGCTGCGATATAACTGGAATACTGTTCAAAGCGGCGTAAAACCCTACTCACTCACTCACAACACATCGGACCAAACATCATGACGCTAGCACCTCCTCAAAGGGAAAACCTATTTGATTCATCCAAGAGCTAGTCGTTCATATATCCGTCGCTACATCCGCATCCGACTCAGAGGTTGGAACAGGTCCTCCAGGGTCCACTTGCACAAAGCGATCTTAGCGCTAAGATGATCGTAACTCCAATACTTTAACATAGGCTTACAATAGTCTTAGCGCTAAGATAGCTTTGTGCAAGTGGACCCTGATCAATCACGTCGCTACCAACGTCGCGCAGTTCCAGACCACTGACGTCTATGTCGTAAATGTGCCATTCCACAGCGGGGTTTATAGGCCCGAATTCCTGCAGCACGTAATCGTCAAGACAGTGTGTGTCTGCTGACGCGACGTCAAAGTCCCGTCAACGCTGACGAGGTCACCGTCAGGTTGCGCACATGTAATGTGCGCAGATGGCGGTCCTTGGATTGTCACACTTCGCCTACTGCTTCGTGGTCTCCCAATGTGTTTTGTCTGGTGGTAAGCACATGTGTCTGGTGGTAAGCACAAAGGTCAGACTGCTGCACCCGTGCATTCTTGCAACATGGACCTGCGTACTCCCCCGCGCCATTCCAAGACCCCGGCCTCTCTGTTCTTCTGATAACCCTGGCACGCTGTCTCAGCAGCCGCTTGCTTTGTAACCATCAGTGCATTTTCCTCTCGTGCCTTCATCAAAACACCTGTTTCACTCAAATTTCGCAAAAATATAATTTTTCTCAAACAAATACGTCCTTCTAACAGTCAGGTGTTTTTTGGGCAATCGTTTTCAACCTCAGTGAGTGAGTGAGTTGGGTTTTACGCCGCTTTCAACAGTATTCCAGTTATATCGCAGCGTGTCAGCTTAATGTGGGAGGAAAGCCCGAAGTGATGCAGGTCTCAGACGTTTACCACTTCTGTGAAACCCACGAGCACGGGTATGGTATGACAAGCCTAGAAACATAATCGGGGCGAACCGGGATTCGAACCCACAATCATAGGTTTCTGGCATGCCCAAGGGACGCAACTCTGCACAGCGAATCGTGGCGCCTTAGTCGACTGGGCCACCCGTGCCCCCGTTTTCAACCTGTTTTCATTCTCCTTTCGGCATGGTATTAAACCCTTTTCATAATCTAACAATGTTTAGTTTACTATGAAAGGCAGTTTATATCCCCTAAGCTTTGCCAAATAACGTGACAGTAAGGAGTATATCGTCGAAGACCTTCATTTTATCATATTTTAGTTATAATTGTATACTGGTTCAGAAGGTTATATTTCGCTGATGATACTGGCGACAAATGAGCTATGTGTGCCCCTTCTACAAGGAATGCCATCTTTGAGGTCTATTCAATACCCATGTTATTCGCTTCCAACAACAATCACTGGGTTGACACATGCTGCCGAGGGATGGCGGGGTAGCACGGTTGTTAAAGCGTTAACTCGTCACGCTGAAGACCCAGTTCGATTCCCGACATGGGTACAATGTGTGAAGCCCGTTTCTGGTGTCCCCCGCCCTGATACTGCTAGAATATTGCCAAAAGCGGCGTAAAACCATACTCACTCACTCATGTTGCAGAACCCTGACAGTTGGCATCATGATATTGTACATTTTTTCTGAGTTACAACATTGACATAAAAACAAACAAGAAAATACAAATGATCAATTAATTTATTCAGTTTTTCATCGAGCGTTTCCAATTCCATTGTATTGAAGGCGTGATATCTTGAGAGAGGTCTTGACACCAGGTCGTTTTTTGAAGTACATTTCTGGAAAGAAGAAATTCATCACATGAATGAGAATATATTGTCTGTGATTCCTAAATAAGGATACGAAAATATGTTATATATACACAAAACATCGCATGTATGATTTGTTTTATAAGGTAAGCATATTACGCCGCTTTTAGCAATATTCCAGCAATATAACGGCAGGGGACACCAGAAATAGGCTTCACACATTGTACCCATGTGGGGAGTCGAACTGGGTCTTTGACGTGACGAGCGAACGCCTTAACCACTTGGCTACCCAGCCACCCCAATTCCTGTTCAGAGTCAATGTAAATGGTTGATAGAGCTTCCCTATGGTATAAGCATAAACATCAGAATAAAATAAGAATTCTTCTCTTCAAGGTAGGTGTAAAAGTATACATTATTCACTATCCAACGTGAAAATAAAACGAAACCTCGTTTACTCGATGCATCGTTTAAGACGAAATGTTGAGCATCACAGAGTTGTTATTTCGCTTGATATCGTCCTCGACATACTGATAACTCGAACTATGGCGCTTCGAGGAAACGGGTTTCGCCGTGTTAAAGAAACAAGATCTACTTACATCCGAGGTAAGGGAAGCGACGGAAAAGTCCGAATGGTTCGGCGAATGGCAGGAAGTATGGTTCGGGCCTTGGGAACAAAAACGGCCCCGGGAATACCCGAGGGAAAAGATGGATTGATGATGCCGTGGCAATCACCATGCAGACAAGCAGAATAAGAGCTAGGACCTTCATTGTCGAATTCTTCTTTGTGAACTGGTATCTGTAAATATGAAGAGAACTTTATCAGTAGATGGTACTGTTTGAGGTATTGTACAATACGTGTGTTCTACATTCTGATTCGCTGTAACACGTGGTGAAAGGGGAAATGAAAATGTTTTGATGGTAAGTGAAATAACAAATTGTTGAATGTATTAATTTTAATGTAGATGTTTTAACTAGGCTGCTCGGATGTGTTCAACCGTTGTGTCGTTTCAGATTTTCAGATGTGTCTCTCTCTCTCTGCTTGTACTAGTCCGGACTGATGCCGGTTTTATAGTGCTAGCCCACTGAGATACCATACCGCAGTTTAACATGAATACCCCACTCACACACAGTATACTGACTCCGAGCCGACCAGTCCTTAGCCCCTTAAGAACGAGCGCCAGACAGGGTAACAACCCATACCATATTTTAATGTCTTTTGGCACAAACTTGTCAAACGGAAAAGAGTAATTGTTGATTGAAAAAAAGATTATAAAGCACTAAACCACATCGATTTCTTTTAAACAAGGAATTTCGCAGAAATAAGGCCTCAGTGCCTCAACATATCACGATTCTCGAAGAAACGTATTACGTCCTCAAACAAATACCTCTTCTGTAAAGGGGAAAGACTAAATTCCCAACATGAATAAACTAAATGCGAATAATTATACGACAATTACAAATACGAAATGGCAGAGTTCCCAAGGAATAATGCAGAATAGTATCAAATAGAAACCTGAAATCATATTGAATAAAGATGAACACAAATTTAACCACTGTACCTGCCGGAACGTTCTCGTCAGTCGATGGTGGTGTAGACTGACAGAGAAGGTAAAGTCCTTTATACGTTTTCTGCGGGATTGATTGACTACTGAATGTCACGTTTTTTAAGAAACGTCATAGGAAATTGCTTCGTATTGTCATGAAGAAGTGATAAATTTTTTATGATCCATGTCGACTGCCATCTATCTGACAACCTGTCGAACTGGGAAGCGAGGTCATCCAATGGCGCTTTGATTACATTTACTTTCGCCATGTCATTGTTCATATTTGATGACTGGTCACATGATGTTAAAATGTACATGTGCAGTGTAACCGTGTTATTTTTTATTTCATCATGTGAACATCGACCGTTTATGTTTATAATTTGTTTATTTGAACAGATTCCAGCAATGAAATGGCGGACTGTAATCATGTCCGGACCAGTCAAAGCAGTGATTGATATTCAGAACATTGTGTCACGCCATCGGGATACGAAGACAGGAGCCAGGCCACCCGATCCATTTGAGCGCCCCTTACAAATAGCATTGGTTGCTGAGATTCAAACCTCGCGGTAGGGTGTTGTGGGGTGGTGTTGGAGAGGCACCCAAATTACGGCGAAATATATGAGTAGCAAGTTGTCAAAAAGGCGCGTTAGTACGGAAGTTTAGTAGGGCTACGATGAAATAATTTTTTTGTCTAAGTATCTCCTACGTAGGACTTAGTATCTCCTACGTAGGACTTAGTATCTCCTACGTAGACTTACTAATTCCTACGTGGACTTACTATCTCCTATATAGGACGTACTATCTCCTGGGTAGGACTTACTATCTCTTACGTAGGACTTAGTATGGCCTAGAATCACTATCTCCTGCGTACGGCATAGTATCTCCAACGTACGACTTACTATCTCCTACGTAGGAGATAGTAAGTCCTACGTAGAAGATAGTAAGTCCTACGTAGGAGATAATAAGTCCTACGTAGGAGATAATAAGTCCTACGTAGGAGATACTTAGACAAAAAAAAATCATCGTGGCCCTACTACGCTTCCGTACGTTAGATACTAAATGACAGCAGTCATATACTTCATTCCAAATATCAGTTTCTACCTTCTGGTCGCCTACTGCGCATGTCGATGCTGAAAACAAACAGGGCCCGGATATCATTCATGCCAGCCTGTATTAGTCTTTTAAAAGTTCATCTGTTTGATACTTTATGACAGTTCACTGTACAAAATCTTATCCTGTCATTATCCCTTTTATCAAAGTTCACTATTGCTGTGATATAAATACACATTCTTTAAGACCCTTCCTTGCCTTCACTCTGATAATGTCCAATATTCTACAGTAAACTACGGTTATAACAAACACGCTTATAACGAACTGACGGATATAACGAACTTCCTGTTTTTAGTCCAGACTATTTGCTGTAGTTATGCTGTATATTTGCTTATATCGAACTACGGTTATAACGAACTAAAATTAGCAGTCCCTTTAAGTTCGTTATAACCGTAGTTTACTGTACATGTTTTTACTCGTGGTTATTTTGGTAAGAGTTTATTTTCTTATGTACATATTTTAATATCAAATATTTTCTTATTGTCATATTTTAGTGTAAATCCACTCTGCAATATGAATTTCCCTTGGGATAACTAAGTCTTATGTTGTCTTATATCTCTCTCTCTCTCTCTCTCTCTCTCTCTCTCTCTCTCTCTCTCTCTCTCTCTCTCTCTCTCCTATATAAGTTGAATTGACAAAGACGGTGAACAAACCATGGCAAATTGACAGTCACAGAAAATTTGGTTCAATGCGTTCAGAAATGGTTTTGTCTGCAAACTCATTTTTTTTATCAATTGGTTAAAGGTTATCTCAACCTAGACTAGAAATAGGCACTGCGCATAGTCTCACATTAATGTGTTATCACTAATTGCAACACCGACTGGCCTTGTATGTACCATGGACAATGAGCAGCGGACATACAGTTAGTACTGTCAGGTATTATGAATGCAGATAGTTGATTGTTCAAAAGAGTATGGTCAGACAGGCAAGGTACAATAAGGTTACAGTTGAGTCAACCCTAGGTTCAGGAACACGTGTACCCACATGTTTAAGTCAGGGTCAAGTTGGCAGATTCCGCTATTGCTAATTCTTCTAAGTTCAAATCTATTCGTCCGCATTGCCATCATTAGCCTGACGGAACCGTACGTAGGTGGTTGTGGGTGTGGTCAAAGTAGTAAACAAGAGAGGTATTTCACGTAGCGCTTACAACATACATTATGACACACAGACAGACAGACAAACACACACAAACACACACAGACACACACGCACACACACACACAGACAGACAGACAAACACACACAGACACACACACAGAGACAGACAGACAGATACACACAGACACACATAGACACACACGCACGCACACACACGTACGCGCACACACACACACACACACACACACACATGAGGTGGTTGAAATGTTCTGAGCTTAACTGTGACGGACAGCGTTGAGTGCCTACATTATTGGCTATGGTACGTGTGGACAGCCGTCGATTGTCAATAATCATGTTTAATTATCAATAGTTTCCTTTCACGGTGGCATTTGAAATCTTCCTGATCTTGAATCCTCTTCAAAGCTCTCTTCCCACTCTTGAAGTCAGCTGCCCTCCTCTTAACAGAGAAGGGTTGTGGGGTAGCCTAGTGGTTAAAGCGTTCGCTCGTCACACCGAAGACCCGGGTTCGATTCCCCACATGGGTACAATCTGTGAGGCCCATTCTGATGGAATATTGCTAAAACGGCGTAAAACCATATTCACTCACTCACTTAGCATGGCTGGTGTTATTAGCCCCTTTTTGTTGGAGATGACAGCGGGGTAGCCAATTTTTATCCATTTTCATCAACAGGGAAGACCAGATCAAGTTGATGTCTACAGAAATATGCTGTCTGTAAACATGGAAAGTATTGTACTTAATACATGCAAACTCTTAAGCATAGACTATGCGTTCTCCGTAGTTAGGCTTAGAACGCTTCAGCCACCCCCACCCCCACCCCCCATCCCAACCCCATTGTACACATTTACAGGATTCACACACTGCAATGAGTTTTTTATTGATAAGGGTTCAATTCACAGAACAAATAGACATACACGAAAATACATGGTCCTATTTATGTTTTCATGATCTAAATGCCTGAACAGAACATATATTTCGACTTGTAATAATTGCAATCACATTCATCATTTATATTATACCTATTATCTTAAAGCATACAACTTAAAGAAATAAGGTATGTATGCATTCTTTCTATTCAGTGAGTATTGATGTATTATGCAGTTGAAAAGCGTTATATTTTTAAATAACAAGGGTATAGTGTGTCTAGTGTAAATTCAACTGTATAAAAACAAGTTGTATACCTCTAACAGTTGGTTGATTGAGGATGTATCTATCCCGCCTGTCAACCTATCTCCCCATTCTGTATGAAGTAATGATGTGCGGAGTAATAAAACCGTCACATTGAAGAGTTTAACGAGAGAAACTGTCTCAGCACGTAATGACAGTTCCTTGACATTCGAGGCGAAAAGAGTGTTAACAGCTGCACCGTCTTGACCAGGAAATAACTATTTTGATAATACATCGGAAGGTCACTTCATGGACTACTACTACTACTACTACTACTACTACTACTACTACTATGCTTGTCGTAAGAGGCGACTAACGGGATCGGGTGGTCAGGCTCGCTGACTTGGTTGATGCATGTCATCGTATCCCAATTGCGTGGATCGATGTTGATGATGTCAGTCACTGGATTGTCTGGTCTAGACTCGGTTATTTACAGACCGCCGTCATATAACTGGAATATTGCTGAGTGCGGCATTAAACAAACAAACAAACTACTACTACTATTACTACCAATAGAAATGATGCTACTACTACTACTACTACTACTACTACTACCAATGAGGCTACTACTACTACCACTACTATTATTATTATTACTACCAATACTTGCTCACGTGCCATGCTTTTTTTATTGATCTCAGACAAATCTCCTAATTCATCCTATTTATCATACTAAACTTTCAATTGAATCTTTTGTAAATTTTATGCCTTCTCAATGTAACTTTACAATAGTACAGCTATCAAAATACATAATTAATTATAATGCAACGAAGCTACATAAGTTACTTCGTCGTATTAATATCATGTGTTTCATATGATGTTTTTGTGAATGTTTATGTACTGATATGTTGTAGCCTTTAAAAAATAAACAGTAACAATACTGCTACTGATATTACTACTACTTATTGCTTATATGGCAATAGTGAGTGAATTGTGTTTTACGCAGCTTTCACGACATGTCACATATCATGGCGTGTTGATGGTTGATGATGGACGAAAGCTCTTAGTGATGCTGGTATAAGATATGTACAATGTTCCATAATTTCCAAAGTCATAAGAAATCTCTGCTAATACCGGAGTTCATTGTACGATTCTGACATTCTGATTCAATGGCATATTATATGTTTGATGAATCACTTCAATTATGAAATGAATTACATGTGTATGTATAGTTAGCATTACAGCAAATTCAATCGGTTATTCCATATTTCTGACACTTCATGGACTGCCCCTACTACTACCACTACTACTACTACTACTACTACTACTACTACTACTACTATGCTTGTCGTAAGAGGCGACTAACGGGATCGGGTTGTCAGGCTCGCTGACTTGGTTGATACATATCATTGATCCCAATTGCGTGCATCGATGCTCATGATGTCGATCACTGGATTGTCTGGCCCAGACTCGATTATTTACAGACCGCCGTCATATAGCTGGAATATTGCCGAGTAGGGCGTTAAACAACAAACCAACTTAAGCTTCCGAAAACCCATAACATGGGGAAACACGTAGTCGTTTAGTCTAATCGCACAATAGAATCTCTTTTAGCATAGATTTCTCAGAATTATGAAAAACATTTGTTATCATTGCAAAGATTATTTATAATCAATATTCAGGCATGATAATGACCGTTTTGCTGAAAAAAGTCGCTTGCAAACTTTAGTTTAAAACTATAATACCCGTATCGAATATACAACCTTTGAATAAATATTTCCCTTTTGTTTTATTTT